ACAGCCACCCCAGCCAAGCCTGGGCCAGTGCCCCCCTCTCCTGCAGCTCTGGCTCCCTCCCTGCCCTCCCACAGCAGGAGAGCGGAGGCATCATGATTTGCCCATGGAAAGCAACAGGGTCATTGCTACTGGCCTCAGCGGGTGCTGATGGAGCCAGCCCCACACCCGCTGCGATGCTGTAGGAGGCACCAGCTTGTCTCATTCCTTACAACGATTAGCTCCAGGCACGGAGGAGTCTGTTATCCCGAGAATGTGATCTTGGTTATAAACGGCATAACCATGTCACACCCAAAGTACCAATGTGCTGGCTGCTGTGGTGGCCAAGAAATAGGACACTGAGCTCCAAACCCTGATGACTGATAATACAAGAAGCCACATCTTGTACTGAAGCCCCCAGTGTCCCTGGCTGGTGCTGTGAAGACTCCAGCTCAGCTAATTCAACCCTCAGGACAAGCCCGAGCACAGATTCAACAGCAGAGGACATGCTGCATGCCGGGGTCCCGTTCCCCCCGCTGTTTCCCAAGGACTCACTCCCAGCAGAAATGAAATGCAGCTCAAGTGTCCAAAGAGAAGTGCTGCGAGCAGAGGCACATACAGAAAATGCATGCACACATGGCAGAGAGATGACACAGTGAAGGATGAACACACTGAGACAAGACAGAGAAGGATGAACTCGGTTCTTTTTTCATTTTCTACATTTATTTTTATTAGACAGATGAATGCATGAAAGCGATGGCCAAGAAATGAAACAACATATTGCTCTGATTTCCAATGGAAACAAACAATTTCTTGGCTGGCGCAAAGTGAAGTTCAGTTTGTACCATGGTCACACTTTGTACCAGGCGACAGCAAGGGCCCAAGGAGCGGTACACTGGGTCATGCCAGCTTATTCTGCCTATAAGCAGATCAGAGCCAGCTTCTGCCTGCAAGTGTAGGACTGGTGTTTCACAAGCACAGTGACTCCAGAGCATGCAGCACTAACCCATGCCAGGGGGACAGCGATGCAAATCTGAGATGATGAAAAATCAGGGAAAGAAATGGATAGAGAGAACATAAAAAGCAAAGCTGCAGAAAAAAATAGAAGTAGAATCAGAGGGACTGACTGGAACACACAGATTTGTTATTTATTATTTATACCCTGACTTGATCTTCCACATGTTACTACATACTGGCAATCCCAACATGCCCAGTGCTCCATGTTATACAAACTCTGAAGCGATTGTAGAGCTCATCACATCCAAGTAGTTTTGGACCAGCCCTGCCAAGTTCTTGAGTATCTTTCAGTGCTCTTATGTCAAGGTAGGTTGACGGTGCTCAGTACCTGACGTAAAAAAGCCTTGTGGTTTTAAGCAGAATTAAAAAAAAATACGGTCTGAGCCTGCTCACCCTTACAGCATTGCAAAATTTGCCATTGCTTCTACTGGGAATAAGAGCAGAGACTTAGCAAGCAGACCTTGACATCAGAGCAAAAGACTCATGCAACTTGGTTTCAATTCCTCTAAGAAGGTTTATCACCGTTAGGTTAACGGAGGTCATGAAAATCTCCCCAGCTCAGCTGCAGAGCGGAGGAGACTAGTTCTGCTGTGATACCAGATCAGACCACGTAGCCCTGATTCTGCCCTTGATAACACACACAGGGAGGACAAGAATCGCTGTTCAAAGCTGTTCGGGACACAGCTATCGCCTGACTATCTCCCTGTTTGTGAGGGGTTGGTCTGCATGCACCCTGGTACCTGAGGGCTCCCTCCAGCTTTTTCCATCTCCCATTTCCTGTAAAATCATACCAGTAATCAAAACGGATGAGCAATACAAGCAGGAGTAAAGAAGCTTCCTGGACCTCAGTCCTTCCCACCCAGTCCCTCTGCTTCCCCTAAATTCTAACAAACAAGGAAGGTTTTCTGCCTCCCCAATCTCCTTTACTGGGCTTTGCAGGAATCTTCCCACTTCTGGTAATCATTGGCCTGGTCCAGACATGCCAGGGCTTCCCAGCAAAGCCTGGAATCTCCCTGAGCTCATTAGCACTAACATAGTTGTTTAGGTTGCCTCATTCTAAAAAGCAAAAGAGTTAGAGCAAATGAAAAAAACACTACTTAAAGTTGAAATCAGCTCTTAACACCTCTGCCCTCGGGGCTACAAGCCAGTGACAACTGGAACTACCTCCTCTTCAGTTTTTTTTAACGACAGAAGAGCAGGAAAAAGACAAGACAAGAGGTGGCAATGATTTGATAAAAGAAACACAAAGCTGCGGCTGCATCTCTCAAGCCCTCCTGCAGGCTCTTGCGAGAGGCTCTCTACGCCTGCACACCTAGCTCATCGTGCCGGGGAGTCACGGGGGAGAGCCGAGCTTTCCGCTGATCATCTCCAATGTGCCAGGGGGAGTGTCATTAGAATTCAAAGCGTCACCCAAACCTTCAGAAAAGTTCATCCTACTATTCTCACAAGAAGTCTACCCCACTTTTCTGCCTGTGCCTGGCTAGGAGGTGCAGGATACTTAAAGTGAGGGGTGCACTCCTCTCAGGGGGTGCCCGGGGTGCACCCCTTGGGAGGGCGCACACCCCCACGAAAGGATGGACACCAGTGCGGACGCACTCCAAGGTGGGCCACCTTGCTGTACTTCCTGCGGGGTTGTCCACCTCTGCTCCAAGGAAGGCTGATTTGAACCCAAAGGATTGGGACAGCAGAGCTTTACTCTGCCATGTGCCATCCCACCTCCTGGAGGAGCAGGAGGCAAGAGAGAGGCAGCCGGGCTGCCTAACCTCTGGGGGGGAGCTTGGGGCAGCCAGAAGGCATCCCCCACTCCGAGGTGTGCGGGGAGGGAGCCGGGGCCCTGCACCCTGAGTCCGGCACAGCCAGCAGCCTGGCTCCGGCAGCACTCCCATGCCTGACATGCCTGGGAAGTGGCATCTGCTGCTCCAGAAGCCATGGCAACACGCAAGAAGCCGGCTGCTGGCAGAGCCGGCCTGGGAAACTTAAAGCAGCACTGACACCTTCAGGAAGGGGAGATGAAGCTCAACACCAGCCTCGGCTTGTCTTTTCCCTGTGCTGTGCCCTGCGGGGCTCAGAGCCTACTTGGGAGGTTCCTTCTTGAGCTGGCTCCTGCGATCCAGCTTGCTCATGACCTGTGTGATGTCCACGGTCGTGGCGGCTTCTTTGGCTTTGGCCTCTTCCTCCTGCTGCCTCAGGATGACGGGGCTGGGGCTGGAGCGGAGGTGACGGCGTCCGAATGGGAAAGTGGAGCTGGGCAGAGAGTGAGAGAAAGAAGCAGGGCATTACTGAAAAAAAAACTCACCCCTGGTAAGCAAACTTACCAGGAGGGCAAGCTCAGACACAGACATGGATGTGCCACTGTCACCCGCACAACAAGAAGGAAGTGCAAATGCGAACGCGGTGGTTTAAAGCGGGACTGGGTGACTCAGTGTCACACATCAGCTACAGAACTGCTAAAAGTGTAAAGGCAGTCCTGTTCCCGGTCCTTGTGAGGGACTCCAGGGCCAGGAGACAACCAGTACATTACTCTTTTTCTTCTAAGCATTTGCATGTAACTAACACCCAGCGGTGAACCCAAACAACTGCCAGAATTTTTTCTAGTGTCCTCAGTAAGATCAAAATAGGGACCAGTATGGGTGTTTCTGGTGTCTGTGATACTCCAGAAAACACCTGCTAGTTGCTTCAGCAAAGCCATTACCAGCAGCAGTGGAAACAAGTGTTAAGCCACCTCTGGATGAGGTACTAGCTCTCTAGCTTACCCAGGATGCTGAGGATTGTGTCTCCAAAACAGGCACTGACAAACCTGAAGGTAGTCACCAGGGGTCAACCAGCATCTGCCAATGACCTTGTGATGTGTGGCTCAGGGAAAAACTAACCAAACCCCAGGCAAGTCAGCAGGAGGGTTTTTTCCACTGAGTTGAAATGGGCTTTAAATGAAACAATAGTGTGAAAGTCCATGATTCCTCTTTCTTGCTTGCTAGGTTGATGAGTGGAAGAGCAACAGAGGAAGAAGCACACCACCCAGTCTGGCTCTGACATTGCACGCTCAGCTTTAAGAAGCAACTGCAGTTCAAATGGCCCAAATTTGCTATGCAACCTTCATCTTGGTCTGGAAAAAGCCATTTCAAGTCTGCCCCTTCTAAGGCCATCCACCTTGTGCCAGCAGTCACTCGCAGGTAAGATGCTGTTTGCTCCTATGTGGCTGCACCTAACAGGGGGTAAGAGGCTCTGTCCAGGCAGAGCTGAGCAGAACCCATGGAGGTCCCTGAGGTGGCTCTGTGTCATCTCCGGGGGCCAATGTTTCGTGGGTGGGAGTTTTCCCATGCCCAGTACACAGCGCTCTCTCCTTCCAGGAAAGGAGCCATGATTAATTCAAGAATCACAGCCTTTATAAACAGACCCAACAGACAAGGCAGCCGAGCAATCGTCAAGTCGATTCTGACTGCACACAAGCCACCTCCAAAGGGCTCACAAATAAACAGCATAATCAGTCTCAAAGCAAGGCATCTTCTTAGTGATAAATTTTATTTAATTAAGCGAAAATCTAAATCATAGTAATTTTGCTACAACTCAGGCTTTTTCTACCCTTGCTACAACAAGAAAAACAAAAGCCACAATTACATCCAGTTTCACTTGCCTTTTTCTGACAGTCTCTTGTGGCACAACAGCCTTGGCCAGCATTTCCTTGTATACTGGAGACTTTAAATAGCGGCCATAGGAGTCCTACTAGGAGAAAAAAGGAGAAACTGGTAGTTATGGGCTGCAAACACCCTTATTAAAATCACCACCAAATACAGCTGCTCAGGAGCCAGGGAGGCTGGGAACTGGATAATCTCCCCCAGCAGCCCAAGGGACTTTGCATCTTTCAGGCAAATGTAGCTACTTAAACCAATACCCTTTCATCTTCGTGTAAAATTCCCAGGATTTTCCATCTCACAGTAAGGCTTCCCAGGTAAGACCCAGACCAAAAGGTCTGAACTGAGCTTAGCCCAGGCCAGTGATGTCTCACAGACATTGGAAGGTGAGGTGCTCATGTTTCAGGAGCTGAACTTTTCATCAACTGGTGAAAATCAGTATAATCCTGCTACTTTCAGTGTCAATGTGCTGCTGCTCTGGCCCATAATGCTCCCTCCTGCTATGTGTATTTTGTATCACTCATAAGGAGAAGTTACGGGTTATTTGTGGTCACCATGATCTAATGAAACCATGACATACTATATGCTGACATCAGCCTGTAGTCTGCTGCATCAGTCAGACCTAAAAAAGGGTGTCCGTCAACATAACCACAGAAAAATGTGTGAAAAAACTCAGTAAAACTTGAGATGGACCATGTCTCGTTATGCTCTTGGTACAAAACTCACGCAGTTATATCACAATTGCTACTACTTTTCCCATCCACTGCTGAAATCCAGTTGGATACAAGCATCCCACCATAGGGATACCTGATGTGGCACACAAAGTGGTACTGAGCAAAGTTAAAAGATTCATTCAAGCTTTGAATGAGCTGGTTACCAAGCTGGTATTAGAAAGTAAGACTTTCAGCAGACACCTGACCTCCACCACCTTGGGGACATGTTGCCTTAGAGGGAGGAAGAAGCAAGAAAATATAAAGGCCTGAACCAGTGCTTGCTTAGGTCAGCAAATTTGAGGGACTTTCAAACAAAGGCCACTTGAAAGTGACAGCTGACAGCACACAAAGGCATGGAAAGGCCCAGAGAACTGGAATCCCCCTAAGGCTTTGGAAACAAATAACAAACCTTTTTCATCAGCATGTAAATGTGGGTCTGAGCAGCATCTAAAACATAACGATGAGGGTGCTTGAGGCCTTTGACCGTGATGCCCATTGTTGTGCCATCAATGTTAATCCAGCGCCTTGCTCCTGGAGCCAGGAAGAGCCTGCAAGGAGAAGGAATCAACAGTGCCGTTAGCAACTGGAGAATTCCTGGAGATTGCTTTGTCTATGCATGAAAGGAAAAGTTCCTTCAGCTCCCCGCTACAATTTGCTGTCTTGGGCAGTCAATCTCCTCTTCAACAGTATGACATGCAGTCACTTCCTCTCGCACTGTTAACACATAATATAAACTAATTTTAGCCCACTGGAAGCAAAAAGAGTCTCTCCACTCTCCTCGTGGCAGCCCCAAGAACTTTGCTATTCCACACCTCTATTTAAATTACATGCTAAGACCTAAATGTAATAGTGGAGAACAGAGAGGAAAAGTAACTATATAACAAAACAATACCTATGCTTTCATCTTCAAAAGCTCCTTTCCTACATGGGGACATAGGACAGCCACATTTGATGACAGCTTACAAAGAAAAGTCTCAGGAATAAATCATTTGGAGAATGCCAACGTGTGGAAGAAGGTGATGGGACTCATGTACAAAAAGTTTAAGAATGTAAAATTATCACACTCACTTGTAAATTTCTTCTGCTTTTTCTTTGACCTTGGATTGGTCTCCGTACTTGAGATCCTCACAGGCTTCCCAGAAACTCAGGTTCTCTCCTGCATAAAAAGGACGCAGTCAGCAGAGAGTGAGACTGAGGAAAACGCAGTCCCATTTTTTAACTCCTAAACTGAATTTATTTGACTCAATATGTGTTGGCCCCAATTCGGTCTCTCCAATTCTTACAGCCACCTTGAAAATCCCCTTGGGACTGAAGGAGGAAAACAGCTTTCCCCTGCTCTCTGCTCAGGGAGAAGCGACACCTGTAAGAACTCGTGAATTCAGCCAGTTCCAGCTTGCCTGGGAGCAGTCCCCCCGCACGGGGAGTGCCCTGGGCTGTACTTTGTGTCCTGTGCCACTAGATGGTATTGCATGCACTGGCTGCACAGCCATTGCCTCCAAAGTCACTTCTACTGCCTTTACTTTGTGATCTTGTTATTGTCTCAGCTCACAGCCACCTACTGCAAAGGCATGGATTTCCACCACTGCTCTGTCTCAGTTGTGCGGCGTTCTGCTGTGTGGCCTAGGCAGGGACAAAGATAGAGACACAGCAGACCCACCACTGAACTCCTTCTTCAGGAAGAGCTGGAAGTTCTGCCGACCTTTCGGGTCTCGTATCAGCTCACTGAAATTGAAGGCCCATCGCTCCACACGCATTCTGGTGGGGACTTCCACTCTGCAGAGGTTGAAAACAAACAACACTGCCAGTTTCATGTGGCCCACCTAACTGGCAGATTAATTAAAACCAAAATGCCCTTTGCTGGCATGCCAAGAGACTTCTCAGCACTCTTGTTTCCAGAATACTGTAATGAGCTCCTAAAGTCAGCCCACTAAGTAAGCCATAATTAAACAACTTGGTACACAGTGGGATGAGGATTTATCTTGGATTTATGCTGCTCTCACAATGACGGCCCAGCTTTGCAGGAGGTTTGACTCAGTCCTGTTCTGGAGGAGGCACTGGTTGTTGCCCAAAGCTTTGCTTCTCAAAAAGGCATTCTGTGAAGGTATCCTTTGTGGCTGTCTAATGGGATATTATCACTCTAACAGGATTGCTGGTCTCAAATGAGAACCAGTAATACGTTGTATGCTTCAAGCCCAGAGATGGCACTGTATAATTAGCAAATAGTATCTGAATGGAAAACCAAGGGAGACCTCAGAGAAGGGATGGACCGCCAGTATGTGCCTCCAACCCAAACTCCCTCCTAAGAAAGCAGCCTGAGGTGTGTGCAAAGACCAAGGGCCAGTAGTTGAACCCTGAATTGCTACACCATTGGCAGCACCTAATTTAGCAAGGTTAACGCTAAACCAAGTGCTATACCTGACCGTAACTGGTCACATTCCATTCTTGTACTAGTAAAAGTGGACTTCACTCATCCAAGGGGAGGATTAGACCCACTCAGCAGGGGCTGAGTGCATACTCGCATCATCAGTTTAGGAGTTTCTGTAATGTTAAGGAAGGCTCCACTTGAAGAAGATAATGCTGGAAGTTCAGCATGGAATATTCCCAAGAGACAGTTTCTTTAGCATGGCCAAGCTATGTCAGAAAGGGAACGCTTCCCTGCTCATGATCAGAGACCAGATATCATGACGAAATCAATAGTTCCCTTTTCTGATTTCTATCAGCATAAAGGTCAGTGTAAACCACAAGCTGGCAAAGGAATACAAATACATACAGTTTTGCATTGAGATCCCAGAACTCAGGGTCATCTGTTATCCAGGGGTTGCTGGGGAGACATCCAGTCAGGATAGGATCATTGGAGAGGAACTGCTCAGAGTACTTCACAAGCCTGCAAGTAAATCCAACAAAATCAAAATATTAATTCACAAGCAGAATTGAAGCCAGCCCCATTACAAACAAATAAATGGCTGCACAGACTATGGATATCTTCAGAGGTGCAGCCCTATCAGCACGGGGATCTGGAATGTGGCCCCTGCCTTACTAGAAAAACTGATACATTAGCACAGTTAATCTTTTCCATTTCCCAAACAGTAATCTCCCATTTGTCTTTCAAAGGAGTGATTTTGCCAGGTCAAGTGCTGGGAGATACAAGACTCTCTTCCATCACCTCCTTTTGCCTCTACATTTCAAGGAAGTGGGACTAAGCTCCCAAATGGTTTCTGTCACCTTCTCCAACAAACTGGCAAAGGCCTGATCCTGCGCTGTTTCGTGCCACACATTACAGAGAGGAAAGTGCCAGAGAAGAGGAAAGCAAACGCTGTATCCGCTCAGGGTGGGTTTTCTGCAGCCTTCCCATGGGGTGTGGGAGAGCACAGGGAGCTCCAGGAGAGGTGAGGGAGTGCTGAGGGCACATCCCAGCTTCTCCTTTCCTCCACTCACCTACCGCACAGCTCATTCCTCTGCAAATGAGTTTGAGGGCTCGGCACAAAGCAAAAATGTCTCTATCCTAGCAGGAACCAGACAAACACTTCTCCTGCCTTCTAAGTTGGCCAGACTTGTAATTACAACCGATTTCACTAATGTCCTGGAATTTTAGCTTTCTCCTCCCTTTTTCATTCTTGAAAAAATCATCTGGTTTCTGCGTTTAAAATTCCTTCCAGGCCTAACTGCTTTCATGTGCTCAAAGCTGGGAGCGCACTATCCAAGGGCCCGTTGCTAACAGGCACCTTGGCATAGATCCTGCAATTATACAACGCTACTGAACAAAGCATACCACAGGTTTGGCACAGAAGTGCTCGATCCTATCTTCTCACTGGAAAGGCCAAGGCATTCAGCACCTGCATAATTCACTCCAATCCATATATTCTAATCAAGCTACAAATCTAAACCTGTCAACTCAGGTAACATTGCTCTGTCTTTTTAATGATTAGTGCTTTGCAGCTCCTCCTAAATCAATGCAATGCTCTGATACATGCACACTATCTAGTTGCTGCTCTTATCCTCATCAATAATAATTTGATTTGGACCCAATCCTGCAGCTGAGATAGAGATCCAAATTTCCTGAGGATTTATTGATCTAGGCATTATCCATCAGAAGACTAGGACTAATGTGTGAAAACACAAACAGTTAAGCACCACAAAATTCCTGGGAGGTAGTCAGCTGTCCCCAGCTCCAGTTCACAGTTTGGAAAATTGAGGCAGGAGAGTTTTAAGTGACCTGGGAGTCAGTGACAGATGAAATGAGCAGAACTGCTGGTGCCTTGCAAGTTGTGGTTCTCAGAAGACAGCACTGCTTCCCAGACTCTTCCTCCCATTTCATTCATTCACAACTGTCTTCTCCCAGGGAACAGGCCTGAGCACCTTGTTTATCTCAGATTCGATATGAATCTCCGGGTGGCAATGACTATGTAAAACAGACTGGTGGTGTGGACTGCACCTCTAGGCAACTGGCCAGCACATAAGATTCCAGGTAAGAAATGCCTGTGGCAAACACACTAATGGCTAACTGGCTTCATCAAGAATCTGATCAGGAAACACTCCCACTGAGAAGAGGAATTGCTAAGTAATTGCTTGGACATTCATAGAGAGGCGTGTGTTCCTTCCTAATACAGAATAACCAGAGACTTCCCCAGCTCTGCTGCCTTCTGGTAAGCATCACCATACAAGCAAGAACACTCACTGGGGCTGAATCCAGCCCAGCAGGCTGTGGACCAGGGACAGCAGGGTCAGTCTGTCTCTGCTGCTTACTCATCCCGCACAGGAACAGGCACAGGACAGACACACTGCTGCATCCTCACAAAGCAGCCTCCATGCAGCTGCTTTTCCAGACTGCAGAGCTGTGCTGGGTCCCAAGCACCACAGTCCAGTCCTGACCAGTCTGAACATCTCTCAATTTCAGAGGGAATCTCAACCGAGAGGCTGGCGCTGGTCTACAGACATTCATAGCAAAGCTCCCCTTAGATCTGAGGGATACTCTTCATCACGACTGGGACTCTGACCCCTCCTCTGCCTTATGCCTCCTGGCCCAGGCAACACACAGCCCAGACAGCACAAACAACACTGCGTGTGGCCACCACATTGATTCCCCTGACTGAGTCACCAGCTGCCAGAGCAGATAGCTTAATCATCTCATTAGGAGATGAGTGCTGAAGACTGATTAATGTGTGGACAGAAGGAAATCAGGACTTACCCTCCGAGAGAGACAGAAGATTTCACTCTGGACTTCATGACAGCCTGCTGATAGTACATGATCTGAGAGGGATCAGACATGTCCATCGTTAGGAGCATGGAGATGTGAAGACAAGGCCATCTCTATCTGAACATCAAATATGCCCTCTCCCAGGTAGTGAGTCTCACTACAACAGGGACTGCTTTTTCCCTAATTACTGGATGTCCAAGGAATCAGAGAATCCCTAAAGTGTCTTAGTAAAATGGCTGTTTTCACTGAGCTGATTGCAAATGTCAGAAGAGCATTTTGCAATGTGCAAGTAATTAAAAAGCAGTCCCCGTGCTATATAAAAATTGGATAATAGCTACCATTCTAGGCCCCTACAGATGCTCTGGATTATTTAGCATGTAATTTTCATTGATCCTTTGCTGGCTCTACACTGGCGCCACTGGATGTATCTCCTATGATTCCCCCACCACTAATTTTGATCTATTGGATTTTAGCCCTCGTGTCTGTCCTTGCCTGAGCCTTCCCGTCACTGGGAGAGCTGCTGGCTGCCTGCAGTGGGAGGTGCAGAGGCAAAAAATGCCCTGAAAGCACATTGACCAAAAACTCCACGGGGCAGAGACTCTGCCAGCCAAACCCAGGCGTTTACAAAACTGCTCATCCCCTGTAAAGGGGGCTTTGAGCTGCCATCCACCACTGATGTGAGCAAATCATATAGGATGAACACCTAGAAGTGAGGGAAAGACCACTTACCTCTCTCCTATAAACGTCCATAGTTTTTTTCTGCAAAATAAAGAAACAAAACCCATTAAATTGGGGTGGGTGCTTCCACTCGCCTTTTTTGAGACATGAAAACACCACTGCAGGGCTGCCGTTGTGCAGCGCTCTCCAATTAATTCTCATTACAATTAAAATCAAACACAGCAGCTCAGCTAATCAGGGTATCATCAAAGCTAAGAGCATCCACACACCGTAAATCGTTCCATTAGATGTATTTACTGTTTAGCATTGCTTCTTCCATCACAGGCTGCTTGTATGCCTTCAATTAAGGGGTTATTCTAATGGAGCTAAAATAGATTCGTTTACGAGACACGGATTAGATCATTCAATATTAGCTAAAGGAGACAGGAACCAACACATTGCAAAATATAAACACCACAATTAAAAGCCTCAGAAGCAGTATCTGCTGTGCAAAGGGTGCTTACGTTGTGATTTGAATAACTCAGACTATGTTACATGTCATCCACAAATGAGCAAGCAATTGAAGGCAACAAATTAACTGCAGGGTGTTTATTCACACAGCTTCCTTTGAAGCATAGTTACTTTGTCTGAAATAAACTTGAGGAGGGAGAAGGAAAGACAGGCTAAGTCAGGGATGCTCCCAGCAAGTCTTTAAAGGCTTATGCACTGTTTCAGTTCTTCACCTCCTGTTTTAGCCAACAAGATCTGCATCCCAGAATTATTCTGTCAAACTAACCCTGTGGCAGACATGGGTCTGCAGAGCGCCTTGGTGAAGTGCAGTTTGTGAGCGATGAGGGATAAAGCATCTGGTATCAAATGCCACAGGCAACCTGCTTCTCCCATCTTCTTACCAGAGAACCTGCACCCTGAGCTGCCCCTGTTCTGGGAAAGGCAAGACGCTCAGCTACTTTGCGACCATCATGGGGACACTGGTGCAGATCTGCTTTTGCATTTTAACCATCGTCACTAGTCCTGCTCAGGAGGGAGAAACTATTCTCTATATGGAAGAAAAATATGCACATTTTGCTGAAACTTGGTTGGTTTTGAGAGGGCACACTCACCATTTCAGCAGCAGGAGCCAGATATGCAGTAGATCAGCCAATCTGTACAGCACTACCATGAAGTCAGCCCACCTGATCCTAACACAAACCTAGCCTGGCCAGCGTAGTACTAACAGAAATCCTCACTGTGGCACCGCAAAGGGAGGAAGCTTTTTCTGCTGGAAATATCATGACCAGCTCTTAATGACTGCAGCGCACATAATCTCAGCAAGGACAAACAGGAAAGCAAACAGTAGCTGCACCAGCAGCGATGCTCTGCTGGCCACACACAAGGAACTGCGTGTGAGGGGATAAGGGCTGACATATCAGGGGAGGAAAAAGCTCTTGGACAACAGGATCATTGGCCACAGGGCTGTACAGCCTCCCTTGCTGATTCAAAGCCGCCTGGGACATCTTATAAATGATGGAGGACACACGGATCAAAGAACAGCTTTTCACCCTGTAGTTGTACCCCTGATGCCAGGCTAGCTTCCATGTAGGTACCATTTCTTCCCCCCATTTCTACAGTGTCATCGTTTCAGATAGACTGTAGAAATGGGAACGAAAAAAAAAAATCACCTGCTTGTGCAGAGAAACTCGCTGCATTTACTGTCCTAGAAGTCTCCTCTTTAGAGAACTTCGTTTCTGTTTCAGGCCAGCTATTTCCTGCACATAGGAGTTCACCATCTCCTTGGGGAACCCAAGATACAAACTAGGCCCCATCAGATTTACAAGTGCCAGCTGAACTGTTCCATTTGATGGAACTTAACTGTGGGTAGGGCATTTACTTTAGGAAAATCAACATGTTAAAATCATCAGATGGTTTCAAAAGGCCCCTCATTTCTTCCTCTGTTTTGTCAAGTGAGTGCCTCGGACAGGCCTGGTGCAGTGGGACGAGGAGAGGTGGATGCAGGCGTAATGGCTTGAAGGCAGCTCACATGGTAGTAAAGTTGTGTTATCTTCTACAGGGGTCTTAGAGGCAGGCAGCACACCACACACACACGAGACAAACAGCTGGTGGGAAAGAGAAAAAGAATCCAGTTAAGTTAAATGTTATGTAGAGCAAGAAAGGCGTGAATTAAACTGCCATCACTACAGAAAAATTATATGTGGGAAAGTAAAAAATCAAAGCTAATGCCATGTCTGCAAACAGGGAAAGATTTTTTTGAAAGTGCATCCTACACCAAGGATCCCCTCTTGCCACAGCCTGAGCACATAGGTCAGCACTCTGGACCGGTGGTCCTGGGAAAGCCAAGGGGCTTTGGTGGGGTGCTCCAGGGTGGGGAGGGGATTTGCCATGGCTCGCCCAGAAAAGGGGGCTATGGCATGAGAAGGGCTGAGCATCACTGAGCAGTGGCACACACTGAACTGGAGCGGAATCAAAGAGGAGCCCAGCACTGAACACCCTATTGAGGGCTGCAGGTGCTGGCTGTGCTCAGCGTTTTCCAGTTCTCAAAGCCACAGTAACTGGGAAGGATCTCAGCTATTTCACCCCAGAGCTGCACGTCATTTCATTTCCCTTTTTCCCACAGTGCTCCCATGACCAGTTTCCAGCTTCGCTGCTGGTACAAGGGACCCTGAATATTCTCTGTGTCCTGCTGAGCACTGCCAGTTGTCCCCACCATCCTACCCACCCTTACCCCCTGCTACTGACAGCAGCAATGCCAAAGTGCCCTGTACCACCCACCCACTCTCCCTCATTTGGAAGGAAATAATATTTGGAACAAAAAAGTAATTTCTTATAATGAGATTAATTTTGTAATGCCCTTAACGAGTGACATACTGCAATTACCGCGGATAAGCTCCCTAGCCCTGCAGGCTTCAAATCAAAATGGCAATTAGTGAGAGACCTTGGTCTGTCTCAGGCAAGTGCCGCATGCTGTTAAACATCCTCCCCCTGGAGACACACAGCAGCACTTGGACACCCTGCACGGCCTCGTCACACCCGCTGCCACCAGCTGAGCGCTCCCCATGCACGCAGGCAGCGGCTGCAAAGCTCAGCTGGGAGCCAGCCAGGACCTGCTCAAGAGCCCTGCATCTGGAGCCGATCCACATGGCTGAAGCCACGAGCTCCTACAAGAGCTGGGACATCTGCTAATTTCCAGCTAACCGTTCGCATCGACCTCCTCTGCTTTCAGTGTGGGTCTTCCTGACCACATTGTGGAGATAATGGTCATTATGTTTTTGCCTGTCTGGCCACCGTTCAGTGTTTACAGAGGCCATAAACAACTGGACAACAGCTTTTGTGTGTATGCTCAGATGGAGCTTGGAATGAAGAACAAGCACAGGCCACTGTTATCCAGAGCTCATTTTGGACCAGGGCACTGCAAATCACGCCCGCACTCTGCCCTGAACGCCGCAGTGCTCTCTGTCCGAGCACGCAGCGCGGCAAGCTGCGAGGATGACCACGGGGATCCTGCGCAGAGCACCAGCCGCCAAGCTCGGGGCAGTGCCAGTACAGCTTGGCCTCCCTCCACAGCTCACTTTATTGCAAAAACCTATGGGCACTGCCTCTCTGACATTGCAGTGGCAAACAGCACTCTGGCATGCACTCAGCTCTCTTTCTGCACACACGAACACCTCTTCTCAGCTGCAGATGTGGGCCTTAAAAAAACAGCCAGCTGGGAGCCCTGCATGCCAGAGGCAAATTCTGAGTCTAGCGTAAGATCACCTCAACATGCATCTCCATGTGCTGGTGCTTCCAGCCCAACAACTGGAAATCAAATCTGTAACAGTCCATAGGCCCAGTTTTGTTCAAATTGCCGGTTTTCCCCTATCTATCTTGTTTATCTGCTTCTGACGCTGTTATTTCAAAAGATGTGATGGATGCAGCAGAAGTTATGCGTTTATCAGGTGGCCAAGTTGACAGAGATTTATGAAATTAAAGGCCAGCAATGACCACGATGATCTGTGGCTGATTTGCTGCATACAACAAGCCAGGGCATTTCATTCAGCAGTCCCTGAATCTAGCGCAGTGATTTTTGGCTAAGCTAAAGCACCTTTCAGAAACACTCTCCGGTTACAGAAGAAGGCAAAAGCTGAGTGTGCACCTGCGGGCGACTCAGCGTGCTCTGGCAGTTGCCTGGTAACTCTCTAAGCAGTGAGGCTCGATCATGAGCCTGAGGCCTGGGTAACAAAAAGGCTAAAGCATCCCTTAATTAGCTGTTCAATGGATGGCTACTTCGGCCTTATTCCTCCTGCCCAGCTACAACTCCTAACTCATTATAACTGTGAGGGATGCTCACGGGTCAGTAATAAAAGTCCCTTTCAAAGGAGTGCAATGTTTGGCTGAGCACCTGCTTATCCCCAGAGGACTCTATCAATCAGGGAGGGAGCAGCCCACCAAAGAGTCTGAGGCAAGTGAAAGAGAGATGTTCATGCCAATATCAGCTTCAAAGGAGTAATTCTGATGTCAGAAATTAATTATCACTGGGAATATTTCCTTTCTCAGCTGTCAAGATAAAAGAAAACTAATTGGCCAACAAAGCGAAGCTAGACTGAGCAGGAACAGAGACAGAAATCAAATAAATGGGCACTGGATTCATGCACTCATTTTCTGCTCTCATCGTTTCACCTATGTCAGAACCAGAGGCTAGGCCGACAGAAAACATCAATAAAACTCCGCACTGCCTTCAGCAGGGGTAAAATATGGCCAACAAAGCACAGTCCAGCTCAGCGTTTACCAGCAGAGCTTGGGCCATCCTTTCTGCTCACCAAAGGCTGTTGAGCCACAGGTGTTTGTGAGAGCAGCAAGTCCAAAGGTGGCTCTATGTGGGCTTTTAGCTGTCTAATGTATTGTCAATCGCTCTTTCAAAAACAAAAAGAGGAGCAAGAAGAACCTTCCCTCTTCAGCTCAGCCTCCAGAGAGGAGGCATAGCTCAGAGATCAGCTTAAAGCTGAAAGGCAGTGAAGTCACCCCAAAGTTGGTGTCCTTTGGCTCATGCCCTCCTTGGAGTCTCTGCTGACGGGAGGAATCGACCATCTCTCTTATGTCCAGGGTGGGAACTGAACAGCGATCCCTCAGCTCACTTCCTCTGTGCTACCAAGCAGCTGGCAGATGGCTATGGGCCATCCAGACTGTTTACAAATCTAAAATCTCCTTCCATGTCAGTTGTAAAACTGTGGGCGAGAAGTTGGCTTACTCCTCTTTTCCATGCCTCTCCCTTTCCTCCACTCCTTTTCTCTTAAAAGAAAAAAAAAAAAAAAAAAAGGGAAAAAAAAAAAGCGCCTTCGGCAGCTGCTACGTACAGCAAGAAAAAATAAAATACACCCCAACCCTACGTTTTGCTCATTTTCAGTCTCTATAGCAACAGAACACAGTTGGCCAAAGCAATTATCCTGCCTCTGGCTGTCGAGGTGTATAAAGACTGTTACAAAAATGAGAAGTTGTGAATACAGTGAGTGTGATCGCAGTAACATTTGCATTTAATTACTGAGAGACACTTTGACTTTACTTCCAAATGAACACCATTAAGTGCACAAATGCAGGATCGCTTAAAAGGACTGATGGAGAAAGAGAAGAGCTCCTCATCCACTGATTGCATTTGTCTTATTGTGGACTCCGAACCAGTCCCACCCAGTTACAGCCTCCACAGTCTCAGTTCATTAATTCTGTTTCTTTATGGTCTAGCTATACAATATGCATTTTTAGGCAACATTTTGTGTCTCCTATCCACCATATCAACTTCTCCATCTTCTTGCCACACATTACCCTTTTGGAGGTATTCTGTCATTTTATTTTAAACCCGGATCTTTACATCCCCACAACCCTCCCCAGTCCATTCACCACTAATAAAAAGGCAGCAACAAGCATCTGGAGGTAGAGGATCCCTTAATTCAGCTTCACCAGCAGAGAAAACATGTCCTGTAGCTAAACACTCACACTAACTGGTATGGCAAGAAAGCTGACAAAGTATTTTCAAGCCAAAAGATGCTGCCAAAGCCTATTTTGATGGCCCCACCCCTTGGACAATGAGATGGCTTCAACTTCTGGCCTGTTTGGCTGTCATGGCTGAGCTGACTCGCACACCCCGGGGGTGCCCAGAAAACCACAATCCCAGGGACATTCTCTGGGTCCTCCCGAACAAATTCATTAGGTGTGAAAAGAAAACCTGTCTCACCTGGTTTACCTTATTTTCATTGGGATCCGTTACGCGGTCTAAGCCATAGTCTAGGACGTCTAGCATGCCAGGCTGTTGTGAACAAGAAACATCAATAGCTTTGTAACCCATTTGTTTTAAAGTTTGTGGTTCACACAAATGCATGAGGAGACCCTGAGCCCTGAAAGGCTCCACTGCCAGCAGCTCCCAGCCAGCAGTGCCCCAGGGGAGCTCTGCCCCCCTAATCTGGCAATGCTCCCCTCCGAGCATGGGTGCTACAGCCAGACCTCCCTCCCTTGCACCTTTGAGAGCAACCAAGGAGAAAGGTGTGGACTCAGGGCAGGCCCAGGCTGACCCCTTCCCCAAGGAGAAACAACAGGGTGCACAGCCCAGAGACCGTGCCCTTAGCATGCGGGAGTTTGTTCCAGGTGGCTGCAGGGAGGGCACCACCGAGGCACTAAAGCCACACGCCGACACCCTCTACTTACAGGAGTTCGGTTCACAAGCCAGTACGCTCTCTCCTGGCAGTCCAGGGCATACCTGTCCGCCTTCTTCCGCTCCTTCCCTGCCCTGCAAAGCCAAGAACAGGATTTAACTCTACCAGGGGAATTGATGAATTTTGCTCTCCTAAAACCAGTGGGATGAGAAAGGGGGCACACCCCCAGCCTCCCCTGCCCCACGGGTCCCAGCCTGAGTGCGCGATGCTCTGATGCAGCCTCCTGACCACATCTTACCCCAGCTAATTCTGGACTGCAGATCACACTGTTCACATGGCCACACGTGACTGTAGCTTTTGAGAAATCATCGTCTTCCTGAGCTCAGCTGAGAGCAGACACATCCTCTTTTGATTAGACAGACAGCCCTTTGGTAGAGTTTTACAGTAACAACCCGCTACTTGCGGTCGGTCCTGCTGCCTCATGTTTATCCATCTCCGATGTCCCCAGGCAGTATCTGAGGACTGCCATGCAGAGATACGTCCCTGTCTCGCAGTAAAGGGGGGCATTTCTCACAGAAATGATTTGGAAATGGGGCCAAGCAGTGTTCCCAGGCACTAAAATCCAAATCACCTCTATTATTAAATGGAAGAAGCACCAGCATGGTTTGGGCTTGGACCAACTAATTCTTTCCCAGACAAGTCCTGGGCACAATTTGGGACTTAGCATGGCCAAGGGAGCATTCCCATGCTGTTTGCATGTGGCCACCCTGCTGTGGTTAACAGGGTGGATGCAGGCTGTTCTGCACCAGTCTGCCCCAGCATCATCATCAAACACCCTCAGACGTGTTTAATCTACTAGTTCAGACACAGTCTTGGTATCTAACTTTAAAACTGCATTTGGCATCTCTTAGTCCAAGTCTGACCTCAATTTACAAGAACAACAGTCTGGTGTTTAATGAGACAGTTATCTGATGAGCTGTATTCTGACGACTTGGCTACCATCCCAGTGAAGACAGAAACGCTGCTGAACAGCAGAGGCAGTGCCTCCCACGCTAGGAGGTAAAAAAAGGTAAAAGGAATCCACAGAAGTAGGAGATATCCTATCTCCAAAGGAGTAATCCCATCTCATGTTCACTAACTTTCCTGGGAATTTGAAGGATTCAGCTCCTAAGGTCAAGTCATTTTCACTGGGTGCCTAAGTATGCACTTCAGAGTTTTCTCCAGAAGTCCCTGCTGGGAACATTCACTGCTTCTTGATTCAGGCCATTCAGTTCAGCTGTGAGACCTGTGCAAGCAGCAACTGAACCAGACCAACAACAGGTCCTAAGTCCAGTGGCCTGATCCACAAATGCTCATCGACAACCCCAAGCTAAAAGAAGCTGCCTTTAATGAGGGCTTGCACACTGCAGCGTCAGACCTCAGCTTCTTCAGGGAGTCACATTAGGTGCAAAATCTAAACCTCCCCTTGCACACTTATGCATGTGCAAAAACCATTCGCAAAGAGGCATGCGCACGTGTTGGCAGCAAAGGCACCCACCCCTACCTGTGCTCTCACAAACCACACTGATTCCATGTCTTTGGTGGACAAATGCCAGGCAGGGAGAGAAACACAGGGAGGTGCAGCGGGAGAGGGTGAGGCTTTGCAAGCGGGCGTCCAGTCATCTGAAAACATCTGAAATCCTTCACTCACAAAGTGTGAAGTGAACAAAGTTTACTTGTTAAATGGAGGAACCCCAAGCTGATATGAAAGGCAGGTTTGTTCCACAATCTTGAGGGGCACTTGCAAGTCACTTTAAAGCTGCAGTTTGTTTTTAAACTGTAATTTAACTGTGTACCAAGACAGTGAGGCTCTGCCTCCCCGATGATGCAAATAAGGGAATGCAAGTCAACTCACTTATACTGCTCTTTGGCCTGCATAATAACAAAATCCCACTTGTAGTTTATTTTTTGATTGAGCATGTTGTAATGTTCCTGGAATAAAAATAAAAAAGCAGTTAGTGTGAAAATTCTGGACAAGGCGCTCCCATGCTAGGGTTTTCTTGACTCTCCATAGCTCAACTAGGCCAGGCTGGCAACCAAGCCAAGAAATCTGGATTGTTCTGAACATAATTACATGAATTGCAACAGTTCAAAAATACCACTGCAAAGAGAGGAATTATCCCCACTAAAATTATCATTGACTTCAGAGTATGGCCACTTTTTCACTTCCAAAATTTTGGCTGTTGACACTGCTGGAGTAACACCTCATGCTATTGAAGAGGTGATTTTTTGCCACACTCCATTTTTTAGCAACAGTGGGCTAAAGCTATAGCAAACAAGGGGCTTGCAATGGAACAAGTACAACATCTCCTTACCTTTTCATATTCTTCTAAAATCCCTTTCCTCTTAATGTTCTTCTTTGCTAGGTAAATTGCTGTGGAGGGAGAAGCAAATAAGCAGTCAGTTACACTTACACCAACAAATCCAAGAATAATTAAAAATTTACCCACATGACAAACACAGGAATCTGTCTGTTACAATATCTTCCCAGGCATGAGCTCCAAGCTCACAAAAGCTCACTGAAGAAAAATGAACTTGGTGCTTTTACGTTGTCGCTGATGCTTCACAAGCCAGTGCCCAGGCTGGGAGCAGCCACGCAGAACGGGCAGTGTGTGCCTTCTGCCAGCAGTCACTCCTCCTTTGGGAACTCAGCCAGGGTTTCACGGGTCGAAGGATACTGGACCAAATCTTTAAGATGTTGAGGTTCTTCAGAGTTTGACCTCCAAGTTTTCCGAATACAGGGCAATGCTTTGTTCCAAGTTCTATTAAAAACATTCCAATCTAAACCGGGCTTTTTTATTTCCCCATAAGATTTACAGCATAGATAAAAGCCACAGAGGACAATCTTGGTATAAACAACCGGTCTGTGAACTGCACAACCGACAGGAGCAAACCAAGCTGATCAGCCCAACTTTCATGACCAGTCCTATAATAAAAAGCATTATAAAGGCAACAAAAGATTGATATGGAAAGAGCCATCAGGAGATATTGGGAGCCACTGTGCATTATATAAAGAAAGAACTATCTCTGAACGCAGGGCTTGATCCTAATCTACAGGAAGACAGTCTTGGGCTCAGATCCAGGAATACACTTAACTACTCAGGGAAATCTAACCTTGTGTTTAAAGTCTTCCCTACCCAGCAGAGTATTTCAGATGTGTTCCAGTCTGATGGATCTTACTGGAACGTAAGAGAAGCTTAAGCACTTTCTCTCATCAAGGCCACCACAAGGCAGTCACATACAGAGTGTTCCCTCAATTCAGCATTACTGAGAATTACTCACAAAATAGTATGAAAGAAAATGCAAGGGCTGGTCATCGCTGGTCATCATGTGGATACACAGCACAAAAAGATGAACAGGAAATACGGTGCACGACTGCGTGCACAAACACATGGGCTTGCACTACGCCTCCTAAACACGTACAATGCTATCACTTACCATAGTCTGTGTCATCAGCAGGCCAGCTCTGCGCAGGCCAGAAATAGGGGGTCTGCAGAAAAACAAGCCTTTCGTTAGCGCACAGCAGCCTTAAACTCATGCCAAGAGGCACGCAGCACCACCCACACTGGAGGGAGAGGAAAGTTCTCCTCTGCTATACTCAGAGCCTCAGCTCCTTAGCCGCATGTCAGCTCGCACGGTGATGCAGCCCAGCTACAGCAGGAGAATCAGGGTCAGCAGACTGTCAATGTCAAATCCACTCCTGCTCTGCAGTCGGTTAATATGAGCAACCTCTCACTGCTGCCTGAGCATTCAGACTAAGATGCTGGAGCCTGATTTGGCACCATGTGGGAACCAGACTCCTCATTCAAACTATGAACAAGGGTCCCCTAATTTCCCATCGTAGTGGAAACAGTTCAGCCATGAACCTTGATGACATCCCGTTATTACTGTGCTTTTTGTATACTCATTATTCAGTCTCCCCAGATCATTCTATTTTCAAACAGCAATTCCATTTGCTACTTTAAGGGAACACACATTTGGAAGAAAGCACAGCTATTTTGACATTGAACAAGTATGCTAATCTAGTTGAAGGAAGTATCACAGTTTGCCCGTAAACTGTAATCTGACACACAGAACTGGGGGAACTGGCCCGAGGCTTCTCTGTGGATCCCCTCCTCCTTCCTCCTGCACACTGAATGTTTAGCATGGCTACACAGCATGGTCTCACAACTACAGCTCCTGAGGAATTGCCCCAGCTGCCTGTTTTTAAAACTAGTGCTGAACTCCCTCTCAATGGCTTTAGACAAGGTACAACTCACTTGAAACCTGTACAGACTGCCGTCTGTCTTAAGGGTGAGATTCTTTGGCTCCTGAAGAGGGTAGATATATCCATATTTGACAAACAGGTCCCCCAGGTGGAGTGCCTCTGAAAATGGAGAAGGCAGATGTTTTAATTGCACAGAAACACTGCACTGGAATTTAAAAGTAAACTGCTACTCAGGAGAGAAGAATTCATCTCAGAAGTTTTGTCTATGGAGACCTAAAGTTTTACAACTCAAAGCTGAAAAAGCTTCAATTTTTACATTTCTACTCACCTTCCTCAGTGATCTGCAAGCGTTGGAGAATCCACTGCAATATATCACTACCTGTAAAGCAAAGAAAACGTCAGGTGCTTGAAATCGGGAGTGTGCCAAAATCCATGGGCCAAAACGAGACCTCTCCAGCCCTCACCCCTCACTGTGCTCTGGATCCCACTGAGTGCACAGACCCCTTCTTGCAAACATGCTTTCAAATGCACCACGCAAGAGAAACAGAGATAAAATGCATCGCTGATCTCTCACTGGCCATGCTGTCATTCAGGCTTTCTCCTGACCAAGCAGGCATCAGTCCCTGTGAGAGAGAGCCCGAGGCAGGCAGTGACCTCAGGATGGCACAGCGTGAGTGTGCAGAAGCACACGTGGCCTGAGCAACACTTAAACCCTCATCGTTGGCTTAGAAAGGACTTAAACAATGCAACAGCTTCCACGCCCAGCAAAGGTGAAGTGCCCCTTGTTTTGCACCATCTTGTCTTGAAAGATTCACTGCAAAGTATCTCCAGATTCACAGAGCACAGTCGTGTCTCTGTTTTAGTAAGAGACCAGTGACCAGCCCTCTCGAATCCTTTAAGAGACCAGTGACCAGTCCTCTTGAATCCTTTAAGAGACATAATTTTCAGTGCAGAAGGGATGTCTGAATCTCAGATCCAAGCTGCAGTGGTCACAGGACACATCAAAGGGAAATAAGATTTCTGCATTCACAAACACTCATCTCTCCCAGTTCTCTTGGTGGGGTGTGGCCAGTCATACCCATAGTCAGCATAAACCTCCACCAGTTTTAGTTTCGTGTTCTGGGGGGCAAATATCATGAACCTCCTTCCACTTAAACAGGGCAAAAATGTACTCATTCCCTGATTAATTATGGGCCTTTTCCTCCAAATGTCCCCTATGATTGCAGATTGAGGTGTTGACCTTTCTTGACATTGCAGTGATGACTTAACTTTCTAATAGGGGCTCAGAGCTCTTATCCTACCGCCTGCTTCCTGAAATAGATGAAATTAAAGGATTATCTCATCACTCATTTCTAGACAGCTCTCTCTGTAAGCATTTTCCCCCAAAGGTGTGCATTTAACATGGAGGTTTATTTGCCTTTTCTGTCATGAGCCATTTTGCTGACACTGAATTTAACTAGTTAGCTTCCTGCACACGAAGAGCCAAGCTCTCTTCGGTGGATCTGTGTCCACTGCTCTAATGCCTTCACCATTCCTTCACTAAACATGAATCAGTCTCTTTTGCAAAACACAGAAGCCGATCAGTATATATGCCATTTGTGCAGCACTAAAAATATCATAGTTTAGAGAGTGATGACTGCCACGCAAGAAGACTGTAACTCTGTTGCCTATGAGAAGTTGACTAGAATTTATGACTTATGCAAGAAGGAACTTGTAGCAATACTGGTTAAGGAACCAGAATAAAGCAGACAGCACGCAAAGGGGATGAGCGCCAACGGGCATCTTCCCTCCACATCATCTAGCCATGGACTTTTAGGAAGCGGTATTTTACATTGGTCAGACATCAAGAGAAGTACTCGTTCCCCCTGCACTTAAATCGTGTTGGCACGTCATCTTCAGTACAGGGGAAACTTTTCTGCAGTGCTGCCTTAACTATTCGCTAACAGCTAGGGGAGGCAAGGCCAGATCCTTTGCAGATGCAAAGCACTCCACCAAATTAAGCTGCGTAATAGCTATGTAAGCCAGGATATGGTTTGTACTGTAATGCATGGAGAGTGCTGCTGAGAACAAGCTTCAGATGTCGTCCAAGTCCTCCTTACCCTTTCACTGACTGACTGTACCCATGGGCAAGTGACTTCGTCTCAGTGCCTCTGCTTCCTCATTTTTAAAAAAAATTGGTGCAAACAACACCAATGGCTTACGGGGCTTTGCAAATACAGTGGGGGAAAAATTAATCTATTTGGCTAAGTTGTCTCCTGAGTTGCCTGGAGCAAGCTCACTGGTTTCAGTGGGAGTTTTTGTTCTGGATTTCAAAGTGCTGCAGAAAGACCAAAGCAGGAGGAGGAAACTTTGGTACAGTATTTGTGAATATTTATAGTGGAGGATGCCTCACAAGAGCTTTTGTGGAGGATTGGAGAACAGGGAAGCAGACGTACTGATAGTGCCCTGTGAAAGCAGCTAGCAGGTACAAAGGAGACTGCGATAAGAGCTGCCTGTAATGCCATACGTGACACAGCACAGCTCCCTGCCTGTTTCTTCTTCAGCCTGCTTGAAGGAGGAAAAGCTGTCATTTAAGGCAGAGAAATAGGTTGAATATTTTGTTCTTTTCCTGCGTACTGAAAAAAATTATTATTAGCAGAAAAGGTTCAAAAGGGAGACTAACTGATTGTTGTTCATTTCTGAAGTTCAGTCTGACTCCAGTCTGCCTATTTTAACCAGATTTTAATATTTATCCTTATTTGTGATCCAGCCCCACCAGGAATACGACAGGTCTGGAGGCTGAAGCACCTATTCACCTGTATGCTAAGAGAAAGCAAGGTCACTTGAGTTAAACTCACATGAGACAGCTAAAAGCGCATGATTATCAATCTTTGTGTCTCTGATTCAGAGAGAAAAGAGTGAAATGAGACACAAGTGAGAACGAGATAAAGGGAGCGGGTATGTCTCAAAGGACGTATAGCAAATATTTTTGGGAACATGGGCTCCAGTGTGCACCCAGGCGGTGGTAACCCTGCAGTGGCCATGGGGTCCACACACACAGCTTTTCTCTGATGAACTTCCTCGGCCCGGTCCCCTCCCCCGGCGAAGCTCTTACCTGCCACAGCGTGTGGGATGTTTGTGATCATCACCCTCTGCGTCTGCGTTTTGATGCCCATATCTGGATTCTGCATCTCCATCATAAGCACCTCAATCTGCAAAGCGTGGCAAGGATGAGACGTATTACAGCAGTGGACAGGAGGGAGCCCCAGGACTACCGCAGCTCTGGGCAGCATCCCAGAGGGGTGTGCAGTGGCGTGCCACAGGAACAGATGCAATGACCATAGTCATCTCCAAACCTCCCCTTTCCATAAGAGATGCCACCTCCAAACCATGTCAGCTTTCACACTGACTCACAGTGTCACTCCCTCCTACAAAAGACAGACACACAGCCAGGGTTAGCAGATGAGGGACCTGATGTAACCACTCCATGAGAGCTGAGCTAAAAAAAAACAACTTTAAGAAAAAAAAAAAAATCTGTGCTGCCCATCTCTGGCTCAGTGGGTTATTTGCTGGGGCAGTAAGAAAGAAAAAAAGGGGAGGAAATAAAATGTGTGCTTCTATTGCACAAATACCCCAGCTGTGCACAGACTTGTCGATATTGCACCACGCACCAAGAAAATAAGCAATATTTCGGCTGGAGACCAAACAGCAAAGGTTCTGTTTCTGGTCTGCAGATAATAACCAGACAGGACGTTAGAAGAGCAACCGGAAAAGCACATCACTTTGCTCTGGGGCTGAGCAAGAAGCTCAAACCCGGGGGAGATGAGAACAGCTCGTCCTTTGAGAAAGCACAGCCACCACCCGAGCCAAGGCTTTGAAAAGCTGGCCAAGGACCGATTACAGCAGGGACCAGAATTTACATGTGGGAAAGCAGACTGCAAACACAGAAATAGAGCCCAGCTCATAGGAAGGAGGTGTCCAAGGGACTCTCGGGCCATTCCTGTGGATGGCTGCACCCACCCAACCGGGGTCTTAGCCCCGTCTGTGGGCAGCAAAGCTCTGCCCCTCCGGGGACGTGGCAGAGACACCGTGCGGAGCAACGGACCCTCCTATCTGGCAGCATCTCCTGCCTTTGATTCCTGAGGGATGCTGATGACTCGTTTACAGACTTACTGCCTATTTAAAAGATCATGTTACGGAGGATAAGTCTCACCCTCAGGGCCAGACTTCTTTTATTTCTGGTTCCCAATTATCTCTTTTTTTTTTTTTTTTTTTAAAAGATTAAGATTTTCAAAGGTATTTTCTTCCTCTTATATTTGACTTCCTGCTAGCACCATCACAAAAGCGCAAGAGCCTCCTGCTTGCGCTCGGGATCCTCCGCTCAGACGGGCGGGGTTGGGTGCACTCCTCATCTCCTCGCTTTAGATTATCTGAGTGCTGTGAGAGCATTGGCTTTGTGGAAGATACTCTTCTTTTTGTCTTCTGCTTCCAGAGATATTAAATCAAAACTGGTCCAACAGGACCAATTTGGTCTCTCCGCACATTCATTTTGGGCGAGGCTGTAGCTTTTTAACTAGGATTAGAGGATTTAACGAGTGTGACTTGATGACACTCACGCATAATGAAGGGTATTGTCTTCACAGGCACCACAGTGACTTCGGTCCTAAGTCTTGCCAAGTTCAGTGAGGATTTAAGCCTGTAGTGACAGGATGCACTCTGGGCTTGACAGTAAAAATGGATTTTCAACTGTTTTTAAAGCCAGTGTCAAATTAATACTAAAATGGAGAAGCCTGGTAAAATTTCACACAAATATTTGTATAAATACTTACATAAAATATTTTAAAATAGCAAAACCAGACTCAAAGCGAAGGAATATGATGGCTTTTTTTAGACCTTTTAACTGAATCCCCAATTTCAGCCTCACCAAGTTCAAGGTCGGGCGTGGAGAGATGCCCGTGTAGCTGTGTGAGACGAGGCGAGGCCGGACAGTCCAGCAGGCAGGGCACTAATTTAGGAAACTCAGAATCAGTTCCCTCTAAGCAAACGCGGGTGATCTTGGGGAAGTCACTTACTCTCTCCATAACTGTGTGTCTGCTCTGCAGACAGCATCTTCTCAGCACACAGGGATACTGGGGGTAATCATCACCACCGTACTGCAGTGCCGTGACCACCGGCCAGGTCCCACCAGGCTCAAGCAGGACTTGTTCTCTACAGGCAGTACAGCACACCCTGTGCCAGCACGGGGCTGCTGTTTGCTCCCTGGTGGGCTCGAGAGATGGGTCTTTACCAGCCAAGAGAGAGGAATTGGCTCAGAAACCCACAGAGCTTCCCAGCACAGCATGTTCCCTTTCTTCAACGACCAAAGAGCTCCAGACTCTTGTTGCATTCATACCCCACTGGGCTCCCTCTTGTCGTTGGAGAAATAACATATATTAAAAAGAAACAAGTGAGATGAGCCAGGGACCCGCTGTTGGGGGGTGCCTGCTGCTCTGGCTGCAAACCATGCACTTTGCGGATCAAAACTCAGCCTGTCTCTTCCTCTTCTCCTAAGGGAACACTCTGCTGGTGATTAGGAGTTGCCATCAGCACCAGCCTGCCGGCGGGAGACCAGGAGAGCTGGTTAAAATACAGTGGGAACATTTGCTTGCTTTGCTAAGGGCTCTAGCACATTTTGTCATGCTTTCGGCCAGGGAAGCAGTCTGATTTGAATTTTGTAGAGCCAGAAGCCACTTCCTGATGCTGGTTAATGGGTGGAGATGTGCACTGAGGTAAATATCAGCAGGAGGACTGCTAAAGGAGCCAGGCTCTGGGGTGAGCTCACCTCAAGTGCAGAGCCACCACAAGACATGAGCCCCACTGAGGTCTCCCTTCAGATCAACCGGAATCTCTGCACAGAGGTGATCTCACCCCGAAAGCCACAGAGGAGACAACAGGAAAACTGTCTGTCCCCCATCTGATTGCAAGAAGTCACCAGGTTCACTGAGTGCAAAGCAAAACTCCAACTTGCTAATGATAACAAAAGGCATCCCTGCATTTCAGGAGCACGTGGGAAGCCCCGGGGAAGGTAAGGGTGGGGAAGGTAAGGGTCTTCTCTGCAAATGAGGAGCAATTGATGGGGTGCCCATGGTTCTGGAGAAGGGGGATCCAGCACGGATGCTCTCCCATGGGAGGGAGCAGTGGGGACAGATGACTGCTGATGGATTGCTTGGGTGAGTTACCCTGGGTGCGTTTCCCATCCTTGTTTCTCTGAGCTTTACCCTTTCGGCACCCGTCAGTTCCCCAGGGTCAGGGCATCCACACTGCAGAACCATCAGGCTCTAGGTGCCAAGACTCTGACACGTAACAGCAAAACACTCCCAAGGTGAGGCGTTCAGCCCCTCTCAGCGTCAACCCAGACAGAGGCATCTTTGCTTCAGATATTAACAAAGACAAATTTTCCCAGCAGGGTGCAGCTCACAGCCGACTGCCCACTCCTGGTGCTATAATTAAACATCTGCTGCTTTCTCCATTGTGTGAGTATTTGCCCAGTTCTATCCCCCCTCACTGCCTGGTACTGTTTGCAAAGATCATCCCTCCCTGCTCTGATTTCTGAGGCAGCAATACCGTCCTTCATCACAACTCTGGCCTCAGAAGGCTAATTCAATTGTTTTCTAGGTCTACAACTAACAATCCTGCTTTGCACATTCATGGATGATCAGAAAAAAGAAGAAATTAAAAAAATAATCGTTAACCACCTAAAACTTCCTGCTTTTTCTTAATTAAAGCTGAGAGGAGGAGGCCTGTTCCCACCCAGTGCACAGTGATCCCACACCCAGAGGAAGTAAATCTGTGACTGGGGAGGGCAGGGCTGTAGCTGGCTCTTTCCACATGCTCCCTCTTCCCTCACTGTGCTGCCATCACCTCTCTGGCCGAGCCTCCTACTTAAACCCACACAGCGGCAAAACCAAACCTAAGCAGGGTCCCACCTGGCCGAGCACACCGCCTCTCACCAGGGCTGCTCGGAGCATGTCATGCTCGGTGTGATGCTCCACAGAAATGCATAGCACCAGCATCGCCCCATCTGGAATAGGGAAAGGGAGGATGGGATGAGGCTGAGCCTGGCTTAAGGCTCAGCTCCAGCCATATCCAGGGCCTCACTTCAACAGAGAGCAGGAGTCCGATGGATAGCTCCTGCCAGCAAAAACACGATTCAGATGCTCACACACCTCGAGAAATATCCAGGTAGATGAGGGCCAGCAGCTGCTGTAGAGTCTAAGCCCGAAGAATCGAAGCTGGGCTGGAGAAGCCCCCGGCCATGCTGCCAATCCCGGGCCAGTCCCTCCCGGGTTGCAGAGCTGCCTCGGGAGGAGCCATCAGGGACCAGAATAAAGAGAAGGCAGAGGAAAAAGGCGAAAGGCATCCATCAGCCCTACCCACGAGGTATGAGTCACGATGCAGCTCATGTAGCACAGCAAGGAAAAATACACAGCCCAGCAGCCGCTGGAGAGCACAACCCTGCCCAGCGCTGCCTCCTGCTTTGCCAGCAGATGCCCAGCGGAGGCCAGATCCTGGCTGCTGGGGCAGGCACAGGCACCAAGAGCTTGGGCTGATTGAAGCTCTTCCAGCATCTGGCCAAGCGCATGTAGTCAAAATGCATTTCAGAGGCATGTCTGTCCCGACAGACTTTTGTGCCAATATTCCTCCTATCAAGACAGTTTAGGAAGGGAAAAAATAGAGTAAAACAACCTAAGCATTAGTCATGGGTATTTCATGGACTAGCAGGCATTGCAGGGCCTTGGAGGGGGTCCCCTGATTCCCCCATGGTTCGGCTCTACATCCAACCCAAGTCATGCAGAGCAGCCTCACAGCAAGTACATGGCACTGCCCACAGCCCCCAAACCAAACCCCTTTCCTCTCCGCCTGTCTGATGGCAGGATTGCTGTGGTCACAAGCTGCCTGCTGGAGAACCAGCACATGGAGACATGTCGCAGCTGCAAAGGTGCAACAGGGCCAGCAGCCTGACAGCATGGCAGGAATCCCTCCATGCGGCTGGCACAAACCCACGGTTACAGCATATGGGCCAGCTTGAGCACAGACTTAAGCAATTAACAAAGCTTCTCTCTAGGATTTTAGCTGCTCATGGATCTAAGCCTGCAAGGCGCTCGCTGGATGTGTGCCGAGCATCCTCAGCTCCCACCACAGGCAACCAGTAAAGGTGCTCAGTATTTCAGGG